AAACTAAAAATGTAAATTAACTCAAAACATCATTATTTTATTCAAATAAATCCTAAAAATACTAATCAAGAGTAACAAATAAGTGTAATAAAATATGAGTTATCAGAACTGCAATGAAGATTTAAGTGAAAGTTTTGATTTTGTGAACACTGATAGTGATAAGGCTTCTGCAAGCACCAACAAGTTTGAGTTCTTGGAGAAACAAGAAGCTTCAAGTTTTACTGACGTCAAGGAACAAACTGTTCATTTAAAATATTTTCCTTTGGAAAATGATTCTGATTTCCTATCTGAAGGAAAATTCTAAAAAGAAAATTGTGAAAGATGTGTTGATGCAGTACAGAAGCTCAAGGCTGTGCCTTCCATAGAACAATTTGATGAAGATCAAGTGGAGAATCTTAATAAAAAGTTGTTTGCTGAAAAAATTTCAGCTGCAGATATTTTTTATTTGAAGATGATTTCATTTGTTTAAGCTTTGAATTAGATTCTATCAATTCTATTGGAGATGTGTTTTTGTCAGACACAGACTTTGGAACCACTGTTGAGCTTGACACTTTGGGAAACCATGATGAAGAAAATGCAAGGTTAACAGGAGAGGTTTGAACCTTGGGGTGGAGAAAAACTCAACAGAGTTTTCATGATGAAGATAGAGATATGATGGAAGAGATAAGAAAATTAGAAAATATGGAGAACATGGAGAAGTTGAAAGGTCATTATTTTCAAGAGAGGCATAGCATATATTCTAAGCCTGGAGAATCTGTGAAACCTGGTTCACATGGTTCAACAGGTTTTGATCTTGAGAATTCTGAGTCCCTAGGGATAATGGAAAACTTGAGCCATGGGAAATTGATGTAAAATTCCAGCATGGTAGTATTATAAATTATAAATGAGCTTCCAAAATTCTACATGAGTTACAGAGAACGAATGAGAAAATCTGATATCTTAGTTTACCAATAGTTGTATGCTATATAAGTCAATAGTTCTCTAATCTTTCAGCAGTTTTCAAAAAAAAATTTCTCTCTTTTATGTACTTTTTTTGGTTTTATTAATCTCATATTAAAGGAGGTAAGTTATCTCATGTCATAGATAAATTTGTGGGCTCCACCATCTGAAAAATAAAAAGAAAAAAAAAAAAAATGTGACACAGTTATCGAAGGGTGTGTAGGAGAGAAAGTTATCACATGTAGCATAAGAGTACTTTTTTCCATTTTTTTACCTTCCTTTGCTTCATTGTAAAAATTTGTTACGTAGTTTGTTAAAGGAGTTTGTGATTAATTGATGAACTAATTATTATTAATACTAGCTCATCTATAAAGTATTCTTATAGAGTGCATTGTGACCTCATCTTATTCTTTTTCTATTACTATTCTTAGTACGAAAGACTACTTAGGAAAGATGTTTTCATGTAAATTTATGATTTTAGAATCTAAGTAGCCATTGCATTATGCTTAGTGGTTAAGAATCCAATCATAATATTGTACTTTTAAGTTTCATGGCAAATTAATGGTTCCCTGCAGTCATAGTGTCCCTTTGAGCTATGTGGAGGACCATATATCAGACGAACAGTTTCTCACGACTAAAGAACCTCAATTGACTGCAGAGGACAATATCAATGAAGGAAAGTGTTAGAGATGTATAAAACCATTAATATATCCTCACCCGCCAGCTTAAACTTTTGGGTTGAATTGGTTCTTTACATGGTATTAGAGCCTCGGTGTCACAGGTTCAATCTTTATCGCACCTTACTTTCTCTAGTGGACCTGTGCATTGTCGACCCTTCGAGTCCAATGGACTTCGTACGAGGGAATGTGTTAGAGATATATAAAACTATTAATGTAGTCTCACCCACCAACTTAACCTTTTGAATTAAATAGGTTCTTTATAGAAAGAAATTCAGAAAAAGGAGATGCATATAAAGATGCCGTCACAAATGGCATGCTATAATGGAGATTCAAGCAGAACTTTATTTTTTATTATATATCCATCGATTCATGGATAATTCAATTAGTCTGATTCGAGCCAGATAAGATCACATGGGCAGCAAAGCTTTCCTTACCAAATTTTAAACAATTGTTTTTTTCAAGAACTCGAACTCGAGATCACTGGTTAATTTGGAACAACACCTTACCAATTGATGCAGATTTCAAGAAAAAATTTGAAAGGTAATTAAGGCTTCTAAAATATAAATGGATTTTATTATGTTTCTTCTTTTGTTAAATAAATTTTTATGAAGGAAAAGAAACTAAAAGGAAATGGTTCTTCCCTCTTCCTCGTGCTTTTGGAACTTCTTTTGTATGTTACTTCCTCTTTAAAAAATTACTGACAGAGGGATAAATTTTAGATTCCCGTGAAATTGACATTAGGAATCCTGTTTATCCATATTTGCTACAAGGATTGTGAAAATTTTTCTGGGAAAATCAAATTTTCAGGATTTATTTTTGTGAAGCAAAATCTCATTGAAGAATACTATCGGGTGGGTGGTATTCTTGAATTTCCACTTAGTGAATAAATTTCTCAAATATTTGGGACAAAAATACCCTGTGTTTTTCTGACAAGAAGGCCAATTTCGCATGCAACTCATTCACCCCCAACAATAGATGACGCAACTCAAACTCATTTGATGGTTAAGGAGACTCTGAGTGCATTTGGGGCTTGCTGATATTAAGCCGAGAGTGGTTTTTTGTCAAGGCTTTTTGGTCTATGTATCATGAGCCATGTGTATGCTCTTTAAGTTTTGAGTTTTTTTTGGGTTTTGGTGGATTTTTCTGGGTTAGTGACAACGGAGAAAGAAGAGTGGTGGAGGTGCAGATTACACTGAGGGTGAAGGGTTTTTTCTCAATGCAAAGAAGATAAAAATAAATTTTTTGGCCCACTAAAAATTTGCAGAGTTCTCTAAAAATTTCCCAAATTTTTTTGATATTTTTTTTATCTGAATGTTGATTTTGTTTTCTGGATCAATTAGGTAAAATTATTATTTTAATCTTAAATTGGAAAATTTTTGAATGAAAATGATGGGTAAAGTTAGTTTTGTAAATCACATATTCCCAACAATATTTGACAATCAATCAAACATAGAATCAAAAAAGTTAAGCTAATATTTCTAATAATATTTTGACTTGCCAAATAATTTTTTGATAACATTCCTGACAAAGTCACTTTCTCATGGTGGATATGAGATTGGTTTGGAGAGTGTTGAACATATCAAGAATAATAATGTGGTTTAAACTAACATGGTGTCGTAATAAGCTAAACAAGATCAATTTTGTAAACAAAAGGATACATATAGAACCATCATCTCTTACCTTTTCTTTGTTAATAGTTATTTGCTAGCTTTATACATATGCTGCTCCATATTTAGAACGTTCTTGTGAAAATAATGAAGAATTTTTTATTACAACTAAGAACTTGCTGATTTAATAATATAATTTTAACTTTATTGAAAAAATGTAAAATATGGAACATAAAATTTTGTTATGATATTTTAGCCTAATGAGCCGGATATTCATTATAGGACTCGAATTTGTCTCGGTCAATGATCAAGTCTAAATGATTAAGCATTTGAACTTGATATATTCGAGATTCAAATTAAATTCATCGACTCTATTAAAAAACTTGATTCAGAAAGCCTATTTTGTTGATTTTTTTATGTGAGTGAGGCAGATAGATTTTTTCTATAGTAAAAACAAAAATATTTTTTCCTTTTTTTGTTACATTAAAAGTGGGAGAAGAAAATAAAGAGCTTGATTAACCGAAACTATATTGTTGAATATTTTGTTACATTAAAAGTGAGAGAATATAACATTCTCTATTTAACTTCCTAGTGCCTTAGGTCATGTTGACTTTGTAAAGGAATTTATAATTCTATTATCTCAGTAAGTGGGGGCTGAATTGGCTTCTTAATTTGCTTAATTAGAATATTATATATATGTCAGAGAGTTTAGCGTGTGTATAACTACTATATTTGATAATTATATATTTTTATATAACATGCAGCTAGCTTTAGTTTCATTCATATACTGAGTTGGAAGATTTATATATACGTGTTATATGTTTCAATTGTGCCTCTTCGAATGATCAAATACTGTTTTTTCACGTCCCCGCATGCAGAATGATCTTAATTGACCATATTTCTGAATTTCACAAGAGCCCCCTATGGAATTTTGCAGCCTCATGTGAATGTGAACAAAATGTCCCTTTTGACTTGTCTTATTGTTAAATTCATTCTCACACGGATGTTCATGTGCTAATAGTACTTCTTATCCAAAACAATGAAAGCTAAATTATTTTATTTATTTATTTATTATCAAGTGTATTATATAGCCAAAAAATAAGTCTATATTCTCTGAATAACAATCTTATTGTTTTAACTTTTTAAGCCTTTTCAACTATACTCCAAATAACGAATAAGATTCCAAATATTAACCTCTTTCCAATCTGTTTGTTTTTCTTTTCTTTTCTTTTTTTCCTTTAAAACTTTCTACCTGAATATTTTCTATATACTTCTAAATCTTTATAGTAGACAAGATTGATGTTATTAATATTGGAAGAAGAAAAAGGAAAGAAGATAAAATAGATAAATAAATCATTACCAATTAAAAAGAAAAGACTAAAATAAAAAATTTAAAACTATGTGCCAAGATATGAAACTATGTACAACAAGGTGAACATATCAAGCACCAGAGACATAAGCTACCAAGCAAGACCTAAATAAGGCTCCACAAATTCTGACAAGGCTTTTGTATCTATTTTTCTATGGAGAATCTGTAAAATTTGTGGCTCTTTCATGTGTTTCTTGGTGGTACTGGCTTTTAGGTACATATTTTTATATGAACAAGGTAACAATAAAGACATGCACATTTACAAGTAAAATCAGTACCTAATGGTATTGATTTTAGTGGTAAATATACTAATAATAAAAATGGTACCTACTAACTACTAGCCTGCTATTGGCTTTACCTTATCACCAATTTGGTTAATTATTAGGGGAATAGGTAGTGGAAATTTCACTGGGGCAAGGGGGTGAATCCCCTGCTACAGTAGCCTGCATCATTTGGAGGCAAGCTGAATGGAAAATCAATAGTTCTCCCAGTTGTGTCCCACTGGTTAAACTGCACTTGATTTTGGTTCTTCCTCCATCCTTGTTCTTCTTCACCTATCTCTATGCCCATGTTTGCTTGCATATCCTGAGGTAGACTAATTGAGAAGCCACTGTACTCCTGGTTTGGCTCTTCAAAACCTATATAGTCAGGGTTGGAAAGCATGGAACTAGCATCAACTGTGCACTTGGTGGGCCCTGTTGCTTCAAGGGTGTAGAAGATAAAGTTGTCAGCAAGGTCTCCATCTGATACAGGAATTTGTGAGGACTTGGAAACTGTGCTGCTATTGATAGGTTTATAAGATGGAATATCTGAAGCTAAGAAGTTGGTGTTGGCATTAGAGACTTGGTGTAACTCCTTATTGTTACCACAAAATTGAATTGCTGATGAGCCTGCTTCTTTTGTGCAAGAGATATTCTGTGTGAGCATATCAGATACCATGCTTCCTGGTAACTGAGAGATCCAAGGGTAAGATAAGGCCTTCTGTGCCATGGACATTGAACTTGTTTTCTTGAATATCCTACAGATTGCCCATGAATCCTGAAAAACCCACAAAGCACATATAGTTCACTAAATGACTAATCATAATTTAAACACAGGACTAGTAGAATACATGCATACATGTATGTATATATAGGGAATCATCATGTAAGTATAATAACTCTTACATCAAATCTTAATCGATAATTTACTTGTATCTAATGACTCTAACGTGAGCCATTAAATGTAAATGAAATCAACGATTAAGATTGAGAGTATAATTTTCACCAGTGTAAGATGATCACTGCCATGTATATATATATATATAAAAGGAAATGCTTACTCTTGCTGGGAGGCTTTTGTCTGAGAGTTTTTTGGGAGAAGTGTCTGGTATACAAGGTAGCCTAAACTCATGCATCATCCAATCAGTTTTCATTCCTTTGGCTGCTCTGCCTCTGTAGAACACAAGGGACTTCTTCAAACCAATGCATTTTCCTTCTGAGGAGTATATAGGCCTGTCAGTTCCAGTGGCCTTCCAAAACCCAGCTCTTGTTACTCGATTTGGGCGTGCACTGTTTCTGTATTTTCTGTCCCTTGGACAGTAGAAATACCACTCTTTCTCTCCAGTACTCACCAGCTCTTCTTGTACATAAAAACAAAAATGAAATTTGGATAAGAATATGAACTTTTGATGGTTACTCTGGAAAAGAAAGACAAATGGGTTTGATTTTTCCTTTTGACACAAATCAGAAACATAAATTTAAGAGTAAAACTTGGTTGCAAATTAATCTGACCCTATATGCAAGATTTGTCAGTGGCATAAAGCAAAACTGAAAAAGAATATAAAGCCAAAAAACTCTGAGTGTGAGTCATCAGAGTTCTTACTTGGAAGGTCCCATGGATCATATTTATAAATATCAACTTGCTTTATCAACTCAATAGCAAGTGGTTTCTGCTGAATTTTTCTCTTGAGGTAAAAATCAACAAGCTCCTCATCTGTAGGGTGAAACCGAAAACCAGGCATTATCACATCATCCATCTTATCCATGTCATTTCTCTCATCCATGTCCTCTTTCTGATTTTCTTGTCCAAGAATCAAATGTCAAAGATGTCAATACTTGTTCTGGTATCTAAAGAAGCTAGAGCCTAGTAAGTTATAATTAAATATACAATATTATCACACATGTCTATCATCATATTTGCATACATGGTAACACAAGCATGTTGAAGTTTGAAAATTTTGGAAAACCAAAACAAAACATAATATTAATGACACACAGTATCAAGTTGTAGTGACTCACAGTGTGTGCAAATTTGCTTAGTCCAAGACCAGTATATGCCTCCCAATAAGGTGTCTGTTTCCGAAGCTTCTGCCACCCTTTTAGGATATGTTTCTAACGGAGAGTGTGTAATTTGGACTTTGATATGAGAAGTGATTAGAAGAGGTTATTGTGGTTATAAGCTCCTTAGTGAAGAGATACAAAGGAAGATGTCACTCTTTCAAGTCAAGCAAAAGTAAACACCTTTCAATGGATCTCTCTCATTTCTCAAACTTAGCCTTAATATATTTTGTTTCTGTGAATGACACAAAATAAGGATCAGAAGAGACTACAGAATTAGTAGCTTTGTGGGGTTTTTATATAGTGATTATTCCATTTTCACACTTGATGATGCCTCATAAACCTTTCCTTTAATCTTCAACAAATCAAAGACAAGGACAAAAGGACAAGGCAACCTTCCAACGTAATTATTCTTTCATTTTCTATAATTAAAATATTTCTATTTTGAATTTTTCCTTTGTAAGGACCCAATTCTCAATATAATAGTCTTAATGTAGCTTTCAATCTGATTAATTCTCTGGCTAATTCTTCTGAGTGTCCTTTTGGGACAATTTTATCAAAAAAATTTGATAATTTTTGGATCCAATATTCCCTTTTCAATCAAAATTGTTTTTTTTTCAGGTCTTGTGTTCCTCATGTTACGTGACAAATAAGAACAAGCGACCTGTCATCAGTCCAAGGATTTTTAAAATGTCTTAATAATATTCTTCCAATAGGTCATTAATTCTGATAGTGAGTGCATTCCCACTTAACCTGCTTGGAAACACAACTATTAGAGTAAACAACCAGTTGACCCTCTAAAAGGACCTTACTAGGGGCCGAAGAATTCTAGCAGTCTATGTAACGCCCCCCGCACTACAGCATCAATGACTATTTTCACAAATCAAAGACTTTTCATTATGTTTTGTGCTCACTCGCACATTTTTTGATAAAAATTAAGATCATCCTTCTCAAAATTGCTTCAAGTCAAGCACACTTAATTATGAAATTCTTAAGTTATGGTCTACCAAAAAGTGGATGCATCTTGTTAGTTAGTATAGGTAGCATATATTATTTCATTTAAGTTATCCTCAATTGTACAATCTCATACCCTGCACAGCCTCTGGATTGCTCTCGTTCAGGTGTTGATTTGATTCATTCATGTACCCCTTCAACTGGAAGCCTGACAGGAGCCAACCATTGTCCGTGTCTCATCTCTTTTGCACCAGTGATCACTCTCTGCCCTCGTCAGCGCCCGGGATATTACAATCTACCTGTAGTATAAGGTTACTCTTTTGTTTTTGTTTTTACTATGAAGTAGTAAAAGGTTATTTTTAATTAGCATAATTGTTTATAGGGTGCAAATTTTCTGCGGCGACTGCGCAGCTTTGTTGGGTGCAGCAGATACAAGCAAGTGAATCCCACTTGCCTTTATTTTTATTTTATTTTAAATACAAGGATCCGAAACCGTATCCTAATATGGCTGCAAAAGTTTTTTTTTTTTGCAGTGACATGAGAGCTATAAAACAAGGCGGGATAGATACACATGTTTGCTGATGAACCTTTTTCTCATAATGGGCTAACTTTCAAATTAAAGAAAGATTTAATTAAGCATTTTAGTCTATATATATTTGTTTTAGTTAGTCTTTTTAAAACTCTTTATATATACTAAATGAGATATATATTTAGATAAATTTTTATTATGTTTTATTGTATTTACTTTAGTCTTTATTTTTTATTTGCTTATTTTATCTTTTAATTTATGAATTAGATCTGATTACATCTAATACTATCAAAGTAATTATAGTTTGACATACGAGGCATTTAAAAAAATAAGGGTCACGATTATATTACATGGGTGTAAGTTATACTCTTAATTTTTGATTCTATTTATATCTGACAACTCTAATTTATTTTGAATATAAATCATTAGATGTAAGCAAATCAATGATCAAGATTTGGTATAAAATTTATTATTCTTATAACAGTATAAAAATAACTTACCCCATAAAATAATAATAATTTTCTTTAAAAACTGATTTCATCACAAAATTAGCTATAGTTTAATTTGTCCATTAATTAATTAAACTGAAAAAACAGAAAAATTATAATGACAGAAATAGAAAATATTACAAGTAAGAAACTACTTAAGTAAAAAAAAAAATAGAATATGACGTTTACTTATGAATTAAAAAATGACGCAATGATAAGTAATTGAGAGAATTTGATAATGAGTTATATCATGGGAAAAATAATAAATAATGAGCAAATTTATATATATGATTTGAAATTTTCGAATAAACACATATTTAATTGGTTAAAATATATTTTTGGTCCTACATATAACACTCGCTTTTAATTTAGTTTCTACATAAATAAATAATATAATTCTTATAAGTACAATCATTATTAATTTGATATTTATCGTTTATTAGAATTATAATAATTTATATTGGAACTATAATACAATAAAATATATGAACTAAATTGAAAATGAATATCATTAGAAATAGGGAAAAGCAATGTTATTAAAGGCTGGCCCGGTTATTGACCCGGTCGAGGTACTGGGTCACTGGTTCAACCGTATGACTCGGTAAGTATATATAAATCTACAATTTATATTAAAAAACTATAAATATACTAAATACTTGTAGACAAATATATCAATTTCAAATATTTTAATATGAAAATAATAATTACACATCATTGTCTAACAAAAGATCAATCAAACATATAATATTTGTGATACTAGTGTTTCAGATTCAGGAAATGACATCTTAACTATAAATCAAATCAAAATTTCCTGCATACTGCATAATTAAAATAATATTAGTGTTGTATGTACATAATCTATGTAAGTTAATAAGGTACAAATCACTCAAATATTTCAAAAGAAAATAAATCATTTATGTTTGAGAGCGTAAAAAAAGAAGACATTAATTTATGAAAATAAATTAAATTTTTTTTATAGACCGGGCCGGGTCACCAGGTGAATCGACTGGGTCACCGATTTTAACGAAAACCGGCCGGGTCGCACCAGGTCAGACCGGTTCTGTAACATGGCCGGTCCAATATAAAAACCGGACTGGTTACATAACCGATTCACCGATTTTCGGGTCGTTCCGATTTTTATAACATTGGGAAAAGTATTTCTTCAGTCACTGGAGATAAAGTTATCTCCAGTGAGCTCAAAACGACGTCGTTTTGGGGTTATAAGATTAAAAAATTATAATGATAACGACTAAAATAATCGTGTAATATATTATAATTACAAAAACACCTTGATTTTTGCACTAAAACGACATTGTTTTGGCTCATTAGAGATAACTTATCTCCATTGACTGGAGAAATCCTTCCCCTTAGAAATATTATATTTTTTATCTCGAAATATATAATCATTTTCTATTCAATCCTTCACATTAAATCTATGTTAGTCTTACAGTGTTATATTAAAAATGATTTTTAATTACAAAAAAAAAAATGATTTTTCAGCAGCATGATTTTGTCCTTGTATCATGTCACACACCAACCGTAGTCAATTTTTTTCATATAACTCTGCAAGATTATTGTTTATGTTATTTGTGATATTCTCAAATGAATTTTACACAGAAGTTGATGGCATGCTCAAATCAAATGCCTTAAACTTTGATCATATCCACTATAAAGAATTTACGGGAACTTAGACCTCGTTTGAAGCCCTTCTTGTCTGTTTCGTGTCTTAGGGTTTACAACCCAAGTTGGAAAATATTGGTCAAACTCTTGCAACCTAAGTCTCTGTCGGTAGACAACAGCCCCTAAACATAATTATGACACATTCAATATTGTAATATATTGGTTAATGCCGGGACTTGAGGTGAAACTTTTTTCTTTTAATTTGTCTAAATTATAATTAATTAACTCAATGGGAAGATTTTTGGTGAAAAAATTTGTGCACGACTTTTATCACTTATGGCGTTTCACATAAGAATGAGCATAGATTTTTTAAGCAAACTTTTCTTTAATTATTTACTTTCATATGTTTGCAATATTCTTCCACGTAGTTCATTCTTTTTTCTTTTTTCTTTTTTCTTTTTTCTTGTTTTTTTTTTTTTTTTTTGGGATGAAAGATTCAAAGGGAAAGGTCGGATATTTACTGGTATTTTTGTTCTGGTTTCATTATCCAAGCAAAAGTTCTCTTTATTATCTACATATAAGAACCAACTTATGAAATATTAGCCATTAATCCTACTTATATATAATGGCGTATATAATTAATTAATAAATTAAAAAAATTAGATACAAAAAAAATAAATGACATTACAAGAATAAAAATTTTGTAAAAGAAATCAATTTCTCAAGATTAATTTTGTTTCACCTTTTTTGTTCTTTTATATAAATGTATACAGAGAAAAGAGAAGATTAATTTATATAGACTACTAAATCTTACCCCATTGATATATTGTTACACATTTTCTAAGCAAGCTTTTATCTTATTTGTTATGAATTACTTCATGTGACTTGTTAAAGTCCATACTTATTAATTAATATAAGATAAAATGATAACTATATCCTTACCTAGCATTAAAAGCTGACCTCTAAATAATAAGATCATACACAATTAGAGTTCACTCGCTACACCCTCCCTCGCAGAGAATACACTAAAAACAAACTTGAATATTAATTATGGGTTCACTTTTTCTGCGGTTATTGTATATAAGTTATCTGCAGTAAGCCTAATACAACGTCGTTTTAGAACGAAAATCATGGT